ATCACAAGGTATCACGTGTGCGTCATAATTGGTACTGCGTCATAATACAACCTTTTACCTTATGAATTTTTATTTAATATTCACCGGTGGTGAAATTCACCATCCTAAGAGTTTTATGGTTGGCTTGTGGCGCAGATTTCCTAAACTACAGATCATTGACCAGGAAAAAATTCAATCAAATGGGCAGCCGTCAATAGAAATCAAGCAAATCTACATTTGAAAAAAAAATTAATGCCTTAACTTTCACAGCTCATATCTCGATGAATTTAAAGCTATCTTAATGATTTAATATTCAAAAGAAAGCTTATGATCTAAGCTTTCTTTTGAATATTAAACCATCTTTAAGATATGAGCTGTGAAAGTTAAGGCATTAATTTTTTTTCAAATGTAGATTTGCTTGATTTCTGACGGCTGTTCAAATGCTCGTTTTTGTCAAAATCGTTTATTTTTCTAGAAACTACCTTTAGGCAAAAATACCGTTCCTGCATAAAATTAATAAATAGAAAATAATAACTTGCACAGGGTTCCTTTAAGAACCTTATCAGTAGGATTCGAAGCACAGAAGCATGGACAGGCACAAAGTATATTTGATGTAATATATTTTACCTCAGGACATGCCTAATTTTTTTTCGAACCTATCTATCAGAAACCGGGGGTTTTTTTCACCCCATCAGGAACAGTACCGAAAATGTAATTTTGCATTAAAAAAAAAGACGATTTATTTCTTAATTAATAAAATTAAAGATTAACTTTAATTCCAAACAATACAACTAGTATTACTAGGCTTTTTGTTTATTAAATATTATCTTGAAAATACTACTGTAACACCACTAATATTGCTTCGACATTATACCAAAAGCCAAAATTCAAGATTTAATAAATTTGTTTTTTTATTGATATACGTTGATTTTTTCTCTAAATCACATTAAATTTTCACTGTTTTTTTCTTCTAGCCTATTAAACAATTGTATGATATCGTTAATGTTGTTGATCTTTGAAAATTATCACATTCAGCAACTATTTACCTGAAATAACCCAGTGTAATAACCAGAGTAGTACCATGCCATCAATAAATTGCTCAATGCATCGTCATCTACATAATATATTTGGAATTAGAACAGCCTAATAATATTTAAGAAATTTATAATAAACAATTACCTATCATCGGCGGTGGAATGGCAGTTTGAGGCTAAAGAAACAGATCATGTCAGGAAAATAAATACAAACATCAAAAAATAAATAAATAAAATGTAACCTTTGGCGGTTGCATTGGTCTCCATCCTGGATAATATGATGCATTAGGATTCTATAATAATAAGTAATAGATAATGAATTAAACTTCGATATTCATAAATATGAATGAATGTTCATATAAGTACATCTAAAAGATTATATTACCACTATCGGCGGCGTTTGATAATAAAATTGAGGTGGTGGCGGTGGTGGTGGGTAATTATTATACCATCCATAAGCTGAATAATAAGAATTATCACCTGTCGCTGAATCTGAACCATAGTAATCATCAACCCTTTCTTTTTGTGTTTGGTCCGTAGAGGATTTAGCTTCTGCGTTAGTTGGCTTTTCAGGAAAAGATCCGGCCTAAATGAAATAATTAGCATAGATTTTAAATATATACATATATAATTGATCAGTACCTTTTTATTGTTATTTCGCTTTGCTGAAGCATTTTCAATAACGGAAATCGGCGTTGAGGCTTCTCCTGATTCACTGTCACTATTAAAATTGTTATTACAATTCACGTACATTCAATTTGGTGTGTGAAAGTTATTATTTTTTACCTTGTTGATTGAGTCTTTTTTGATAAGGCACCTTTATTTTTAATGTTATCAATTTTGTTGGTAGTTTTTTCAGTTTTGATACTATGAAAAGACTAAGAAACGAAGTTCAGCGAAGGTAAAAAGCCTAATCAACTGTAAAGCGAAATTAGCCAGTTGATTACTTCATATTCCTTAACAGCATGATCCCAGGCAGTTATTAAGGCGCTATCGTCCCAAACATCGGAATTCTTTTTAAGAATAGATACGTTTTAGTTCATAACGATCTAATAAAAACACTTGATTTTTTAGTACCTCCTCGGTCAAATCTTCTTGAAGCACACCAAGATCATTCGAAACTTCCGGTAGTGTTTTTGATTGGGGGTTGGAACCCCACTGAACTTCCATATTTTCTAATATGCTATTACAGTATTATGAAAACTAGGGAGCGGTGGGTGCTCTTATCTATGCGATCTCAATGCTCCATAAAAATTTGCCACGTGATCTGTATTACAAACATATAGGAACTATATATAATTCGTTGTCGCGCTAAATGTTGAAAATTACTAAAATCGGGTGAATGTTTCCTTCTTTAAACTTTAAACAAAAATTTCTCGATACCCAACTATCCAAATTCGATGATTTTTTTTATTTTATTTTAATTCTGTGAATTTATTGAATCGAGAAATATTCATTAAAAGTTAAAAAAAAATTGGCCGCAGCTTCTTTTTAAAAACTACTTAACTTTAAACGAAGATTACTCGGCACTTACCTGATCAAATTCGATCAATTTTTATTTTATTTTAATTTTATGAGTCTATAGAATTAAAATAAAAAAATTTTGATCGAATTTGATCAGGTAAGTGCCGAGTACAGGAGTAGTCTTCGTAGTTTAGACACCTATAAAAAAAACTGTGGTCAAATTGGACGATTTTAACGCTCACCAGAGGTGAGTATCTCGAAAACTTACTAAGTAAATAAAGTCAGGGAGTCTAAGTAAAAATGAAAACTGAAATCGGGACCTTATATCTAATCTACATAAAGCTCCTCTTTTATTCTAAAACTGCACCCTAACCATAAAACTCTTAGGATGGTGAATTTCACCACCGGTAAATATTAAATAAATTCTTCATTTAATATTCTGCAGGTTGACATAAGTCAACAGATCGAAAAGACAGGGAGCATTGGTCATGGGTCACATTACACGTGCCGTATCCTACCCGATCACAAACGACAAAGATCGATCGGAGAAAGCAATCAACGTCAAATCAAAAATTCATGCAGCGCAATCAAAAAGCCACCAAATGACTAATATAAAAGGGTCGTAGAGAATAATTAAATTCACACGCTCTTTCTCATAAAAATTCAATTCATTTAACTTGAATTTCTCGATCCAACCCTTCCCACCACACATGGTAGTCTCCTGATTCTGCCATTTTCCTATTTAACAGCCGGCATGCTTCGAGCAGGCGGGAAACCACCGGCTGATGCTGCTTCTCACTCGCTCTACTGTTACTGGCGCAATCTCACTTGCTAATCTTCCGGGAGCATATCATTGTTTCAGTTTAAATTACTTAAAATTATTTAAAATTACTAATTACTTAAATTTACCAATTCAATGTATTCTGCAGACTTAAAGTCTTTTAATTGAATTCATTTCCGGCACCTTTGGCTGTCCGGAATTCTTCCAAACACATGACCAAGCGCATCTATGCTTTTTGATGAATTTTTCATTTTAATCAACAAACTTTTTACAACTGACCACCTTTTTTTTATACCAGCCTTTGAAATTTATGATCAATAGAGTATTCAAAGATCACTCAAGTAGCTTTGCCATGGACCATCATTTTCGACAGCAACGAATCATTATTTTACTTTTCGCATTAAAAGTTTTTATGGAAAATAAAAACTTACCATCTCTTGGCTTTCGCTCAAATAGCAACAAATTCAACTATTCCGTCATTATAGTTGGTGAAATCAGCGAATGGAGTACTAGAAACAACCGAAGTTGATGCTTCACTAGAATTTCGATAATCAGTAACATCTGTTACTTTCTTTTGGATAGACTCTTTTTTTTTATTTTTTTGTTTTTTTTTTGTTTTTTTTTTTATTTTATTTTTATTTTATTTTTTTATTTTTTTATTTTTTTTTTTTTTTTTTTTTTTTTTTTTTTTTTTTTTTTTTTTTTTTTTTTTTTT